AGTTCTTAAGTTTTGGTTTTGAGTTTCTTTTGGTTTAATGTCGAGTTTGACATGTTAAATTGATTTATTTTTGGAATCTTAAGTACTTTTTGGTTAAATTCACCTTTTAGTTTAGTTTTGTTATTAGTTTAATATTATTTTCGTCATCTTTTATCTTGTCAAGAAACATCAATTATCATCATAAACACCATTTAGTTATAATATTCAAAGTAAATTGCCGTGAACACAGTCACTATTGCCATTTTGAAATACTTTCATACGCAAAAGCTCAAAACGGTAACAATATAAATATAATAAAAAAATCTCTCTATAGTCACATTCTCTCTATAATCACCAAATTTTGCTTTCCGGAGAATGATGACTATAGAGGGGTTTGACTGTATTTTCAAAAATAAATTAAATTAATATATTTAAAACTGAATTAAAAGATCTTAAATAGAACTCAAAACTTAAATCAAATTAAAAGAACTTAAAACAAGAATTGAAAAATTTAAATTAAACTTAAAATTGAACTAAGAGAACTTGAATTTTATTAATTATTGATACTTGTATTTATATATTTATATATATTTTTATATAATAATAGCATAATGTGATACAATAATATATAGCATAACGCAGTATAATATAGTTGTGATATAATATATGACACAGTAAATCTATGCTATTACTATGAAATTATTGATTCTTTTCTAATTATACAAAAAATTAATTATATATAATTAATAATCTTGTTCTATACTAAAGTACCAAGAGCAAAAATAAAAAATAAAAGTTAAATAAATATAGAAAATGATAAATTTGTCAAGAAAATTGCATGATTAATATATTCAAATTAAGATAATAATAAATAAAAGATAAGAAATAATAAGAAAGAGAAAAAAAGAAATAGAAAGAAATAGAAATAAAAATATTTTTGACTTGAATACATAATTAAAAATATTATTGTGACTAATTTTATATGATTGTACTTTTTATTTACATGTCTATTATATTGAATTAGTAATATTATAAAAAATTTTTGCAAATTTTTTATAATCAGAAGAATTTCATGAAATAAAATCTAAAAAATATATATTGAAATATAGATTCTTAGCTTTATTTTGATATAAAAAACAAAAAATATTTATTAATTAAAATAAAAATAAAAATATTTATTATATTTTACTATTAAAATTTTTATATATATAATGATTTATAGTAGGTCAGTGTATAACTAAAACAAATCAAAAATTATAATATTTTCTGAATATTCATTATCAATATCAATTATCTTATATCAATTTGTAGCTTTGATTACAACCTACAACTTTATTTAGAATCTCTTTAAACATTAACTTGAACTTTTGATCAGGTTCAAGATTGATTCAAAGCTTAAATCAAACTTGAATCAGACTTTTAATTGAATTCGAATCTTTGAACCAGACTTTAGATTTGATTCAAGCTCAAACTTTTTTCGGAATCCTATGTAATAATATGTTAACAAAAAATCAACTGATCAAATGTAACCAAAATTATCAGCCAAAGTCGATTAGTCGATTTCTGGTGTAATATTCTATATTTAGTAATATTAACGCTAACCGAAAATAGACTTTGGCCGATATTTTGCTTATCAGCCAAAATCACTAATTGTGGCTAATTATAACGATAATGCACGTAACAGATGATCGAGGACAAGATTTCGAGCAAGAAATTTTTGATCATTTAAACAATGTAGAATGTATAGAATGCCACCGTGTACCGTGAGTATATTTCACTAAATATTTGTCGAGTTATTATGTATCCGAAGTTACGCTGCCACTAGGAGAAAAATTGAAAACACATCGTGGTCATATTAAGAACTTATGAACGTTCTTTTTCTCCGAAAAATTCCATTTGACTTGGCTCTGGGGTTGTGGTGAATAGGATACATGATAAAATAATAGAGAGTACAACGTGTACCATATGTTTATACATATGATCGCTCTTATTTTATTTTGATAATAATGACATAAATATTTATTTTTTATTCTTTTATATATGTAAACGAGGTGACGGTGGTATCGATATAAAGGGGGAGGTTGCAGTAATTCCATTTGTTACTCAATGTAAAAATCACGAAGAAAAAGTTGGTGTAGATGTTGTTCGTGAATTTGAAGGGGTTCTTGTACGAGAATCTCAGAATACAATTGGAATTCTTGTAACATCAAGGAGAGATGGTTTTACACGAGGTGCTAAAAATTGGGTAAAAGAATCTCCTTTTAATATAATTCTAACAAATAGAGACAATATTATTATAGATTTATTAAATTTTGTAGATAAAAAATTAGATTATATAAAATATAAATTAGAATTAAAAAATATATTAGAAAAAGTTATAAAAGATATTATAGATAATAAAATAGAATTAGAAAATAAAGTAAATAAAAAAAAACAATTTATTTATAGTTTCTTTATCTGTATTTTCTTTATCTGTATTTTTTCATTTCTCATTTTTCATTTTTTAAATTTTTCATTTTATTTAAATTTTTCATTTTCTTTAAATTTTTCATTTTATTCATTTTCTTCAGATTTTTCGGTTTTTTATCAATAATATAATTGTTATATTATATTTTATTCTTAGATAATAAAAAATCAATGTGCTCTGGAAACCAATTAATTATTTGTTAAATAATTGGTTACTGATAAAGAAAAAAATACGCGTAATTTCTATTTTTTTTTTAATGATTTCTTCCGTAACAAACGGTATTAGAAATAAAACTATTAAAAAAAGTTAATATCCAATCATTTAAATCATATGATTTAGAAAATATTTATATTATTGCTTATGTGAACTTTCTCATTATATAATATATACATGTGTAAAGTTAACAATCACGCGAGAAAAAAAAATATGACATATGGTGTGAGAAATCTTTACATTTCGATATCCAAATCTTTCTTGAATTTGAGCTGGTTAATCTGGTTTCTTGTTTTAAAACTTGGCACTTGAAATAAGAAAAGAAACTAAGGAAATGCGTTAAAAAATCGGTATTTTATTCGAAGATAGCCATGCCTATAAGCTTGTGGTAATAGAAGTGATGGTTGAGGAGATAACCGAAGAAAGAGAAAAAAACGAGTGATGTGGTTGATGGTGGTAATGGTGGTGTGGTAGTGATGATGGAATATATGGAGTATTTTATTTCTAAAGGATGCGTTATTAATTGATTTAAATGGATTGTCGTCCTTTCTACTCAATATACTTTAACCAATTGTACGATGATACGTTACATTTCATCCCATCCTTAATTGCAAACTTGCTGGTAAGCGGACTGATCTACAAATGTGTGTTTATTCTCGAAAGCTGATTTTCTTTTATATTTCTATGGTCTCGATTTGGCTTGTTAAAATCTCGTTTAAGAGATCTGTGGCGAATAATGTAGCAGTCAATCACAAAATGTGCGTGATGTTCAAACGATAACCGAAAGTAACTGCTCGATCAATTACCAACAAAACGAATTTGAAAAGGTAAGTTCCATGGACGTCTCCGTATTTTTTAATTCGTTACATACCGCATCATAATAATATAAAATTCTATAATTAAATGATTATGAAGAAAAAGTTTAAAGTACGCGTTTTAAAGTCATCTTGGCAGCGTAATTTCAAATTCGACAATATACTTGATGAAAATACTCACGGTACTCGACAACACTTTATTTCTACTTCTTGCTCAAAATCTTGTCCGCGTTGATAAGTAGACATAATTAATGTTTAATTGTTAAAAAATTCTTACCGTCTAGATCATTATTATAGCGTATAGGTGTTAGAAAGCTAAACTCTACAATCACGTGATTCGATTCAATTTTCTTGTCCGAGAATCCTACGGACAGTGCAGATTTCTTTTAGTAAGTAATTCGGCCAGTAAAACAGGTTAAGAGGGAAAGAAAAAATAAGGTAATGCATTAATAGCCACCTCAAAAACGACTCCTACCGAAATGGCAAAGATTTGTAAATCAGAACCACAATAGTCTTTCTGTCCCACAATCACGTGACCCACAAACCAGTCCATCGTTATAAATTTTCTCCGGCCACTCGTTTCCATTCCTTCCTAAACACACAGCCAGTACTCTGTATCCGCAATTGCCATCTCTATCCACACCGATCACCTCCTTTATATGTTTATGCATATAAGTGGGTATTTGATCGTGATATAGGAGCTTCTGTGATCATTGCAAACTTTCCATGAGTTTGAGCACTGATTTTTTGCATTCTCTCTTTCTTTGCGGCAGCTTTATCTTGAAGTTCACTAAGAAGAGGGTCTCGCCTAGTCATCTGGAACATAGTCAAAGTTATTAATAAATGTCGCGGCTGATGCTGAAATTGACCAATGAAATTAAAGAATAGAAATTGATCAGCCAATAGGATGCGCTAATTTCAGCATCAGCTGTTAAATAAATAATACATCATTTAGTTGTTGCATTGATTGTGAGGTAATGTAAAGAAACAAAGCTGTCTAGCATATTGTTAAATTTAATATATTAATAAAAATATTCATTTACCGTTATATTTATTTCGTAAAGTTGTGTTACTTTGGCTAGATTCTTTAAAAAAATATATAAAACAACATAATTAGCAAAAGAAAGGTATTGAGTTCTATCCAACTTAGTAATGGTATAGCAACATACCTTGTGTTATAAGGATGTTGGCATAGAAGCTTATTATCGATATAAAATCGATTGTAACCTCGGGACGATCCAATGATCGGATCGAAGCAGGGTTGTCACTTTAAATAAGTCCAAAAATCTGTATTTTTATTGGACTTAAGTAATTCCTCAAGTCCAATGGTCCAATTAACAACCCTGGATCGAAGCGATCTAACCATCGATCTGTTTATTGAATCGTGAGACATCGCGTCTTGAAAAAACTTTTTTACAAACAATATTAGACTGCGCCACAAAATTTAAATTTCAAACTGGGTTTGATGATCCGGCCAGGTTATGAAAACTGTTCACATTTTTTATTCTTAATACCCTAGCCACGGCAAAAAAAAGGTGCCTTTCACGTGATGCATAATATTAAATAGAGTTTCGGTTAGGGTTAGCGTTTGGGTTTAGCGTTAGCAAAGAAGAGTAAGCGTTTGTTTTCAATTTTTTGCGTTACACGTTGATCTTGTGATTTGATTGGTGCATGATTTTAAGGGGGATCCAAATCACGTGAAAGTCACTTTTTTTGCCGTGGCTAGGGTACTAGTTTATTCTTGCGTCGTTTATTCTCACGTTCTTTACACTCCAGGTTTTTCTTGTTTTTTTCTTTCGTAATTTCTTTATCCTTTGTTATGGCCTAGCCACTGGATGGTATTCTTCTGGTCTTTGACCTGTTTGTGATGAGGGTTCGATTCCCTCCTATGTTGTGCAGCCTTTGGTCTGTCATTTGTCAATTTGAGAGAGTTGTCATTTGTCATTCCTTTGGCTTAGCTTGGTGTGTATAAAGCCTTCTCTGTCGGCTCTAAACTTTAGCGCGAAATTTTGTGGTGCAATTGTTCGGGGAGATTGCATCATGCTTTAAGAGCTTATAGATTCAGTCCTATAAATCGTCTTGTTTCGGGTTATCTGTGATTTAGCCATGGGTACGTGAGTGCCGAGGCCCGCGAAAACTTCGTAAGTGCAGGAAAATGCTAAATCACTGCCAGATGCCGGTAGTCGGGTACAGCACCCTTCAGACAAGGAAGAATGATATGATCTGCCGTCGGGCTCTTAATTGTGAGTATCCCTGACTAGATTCAAACCTAGAGGAAGTGATCGGGTAAAGTTTACTCCTCTATAGTTTATAGTTGGTTTGGAACCACTCTTAATTAAGGATAACTCAACTCGTAGACGTATGATTTATAATTCTCTTCTCGTGGATCGGTCCTTTTCTCTCTGAATGCTAGTTATTCTGGTCTAATGTACATTTATACGTTCATTTATATGTTCGCTATTATATTTTCTGACAGTTCAGGCTATTTCTGGCCAAATGGTGCCCACCACAATATCTTGTATGGATGATCTCATTTTTGAGATGGAGACTCAATTCCTCCCAAGATCGAGTCTAGGCTAATACATAAAAAGTGAACTCGAGACATTTCAAATGAAAAATTTATCAATGTTGAATATCTAGCAAAACGATTACGAGGAGAAAATAAATTTAATCGATCCGAAAGGTGCGAAGTAGTTGTGTCAAAATCAACGTGATTCAAAGCAAATTACACCAGAGTTTATAAACGAAGTAAAAATGAACAATTTCTAAAGTGTAGCCATGAGGCCTTTTGTTTTCGAATACATTTTTTTTAAAATAGGTTCGGAATTATTATCGTTATGGAAAAATAAAGACATTTGGTTCATTGGTTGCATAAGAAGGATTTATGCATCGTGACTTTCACCCTGGAAATATATTATTAATATCGATATCGGTCCGACTAATTTAAGTGTTAGTCCAGAGCCATACATGCATACACTAAAGCTGCAATTTCTATGAGATTGTAACAGGTAAAAGCTGATTATTGTACTCGAGATATCCGAATAATTACTATCGCTATCTGAAATTATAAATTCAACACTGCAGATGATTGCTTTTATCGTTAGGTTCACGATAAAATCCTGTTTGGATGTTATCGTTATGTGCCTTAACATTAGTAACATGTGGCATAAATGATCTTTCTCTTCTAAAAGCAGATTTCTGTATGAGCAAGTGACGGATCTTTTGTTTGTTGATGACAGGTTATTAAAATAGATGATCAGTTGTAGTTGTTGATTTGAAATATCAATTTTTGAATTCTAATTTTCTCCTCTCACTGGGAAATTAAATATCTTTAATATCAAAATAAAAATGTCGAAAAGTAGCGATAGAAAGACTCTCTCTACACATTTCATTGCTGGCGGTGGTGCCGGTCTCACCGAAGCATTATGTTGTCATCCACTTGACACAATAAAAGTGAGAATGCAGTTGAGCAAAAGGGTAAGAATGTGCTGAAACGTCTCGTATCAGAAAGATCTTTATATTGTATCGTAAAGCATTAATCAATATACTTTATATATTGTTTTGCTCATTTTCTTTATCTATGTAGACTCCTAGACCGGGTTTCATTTCAGTTGCCGTAAACATTATAAGAAAGGAATCTACACTAGCTTTTTATAAAGGTTTAGGTGCAGTGGTTACAGGTATTGTCCCAAAGATGGCAATAAGGTTCTCCAGTTTTGAATTATACAAGACATGGCTAGCTAATAAGGAGACTGGAAAGGTATCGACGGCTGCTACGTTTTTTGGTAAGTTTTTTTATATATATTTCCACGTTGATCTTGATCAATCAAACTAATTGACGATTTCTTTCCTTATCACAACAATGATCTTAATATTACAAAGCTGGCCTTGGAGCTGGTATCACGGAAGCAGTAATGGTAGTGACACCAATGGACGTGATAAAAATTCGGTTACAGGCACAACGCCACTCCCTTGCCGATCCACTAGACATTCCAAAATATCGTAATGCCGCACACGCCGCTTACACTATCGTGAAAGAGGAAGGTGTCCTAGCGTTGTACAAGGGAGTTACATTGACGGCACTTCGACAGGCTACAAATCAGGCGGTTAATTTCACCGTATATCAGGAGATGAAAAAACAAATGAAACATATACAAGGAACAAAAGAGGGACAAGAGTTACCGTCTTATCAGCATTTATTAATGGGTGGAATTAGTGGTGCTATGGGTAGGTTATTTTGTTTTTGATTAATTGAATTCTGTTATTTTTTCGATGATTATAATACTTAATTTTTTTTATTATTGTAATTATCAGGTCCTCTCGCCAACGCCCCAATTGACACGATTAAAACTCGTATTCAACGTTCGAGTAGTCCCGAAAAAGGTTGGTCCACATTCAAATCAGTGACCCTTTCCTTGATCCAGAATGAAGGCTACCTCGCATTGTACAAGGGTCTACTTCCACGTTTAATGCGTGTCGGTGTAGGGCAAGCAGTGACATTTGCGGCGTATGAACGAATTAAAATTTATGTTGACATTTTGTCACAGAAAGGTTGGTTTAAGGTTGACGAACGAGCATGAGAAAATAATATTTGAAAAATGAAAATCGAAGGCAGGCTTAATATTAACGATAATTATCAACAAAAAAGATGGGTTGGTTGGGAAATGTGTGAAACAAAGGGCCATGGGAATCTAAAATGTTTTATTTTTATAGTCATTTATCTCAAGAGTTAGAATGTATTTGAAGAATAATAACAATAATACACAAACTAAATAGATGGAATAATTGTAATTTACGGATGGATAATTTTTTTTAATATTCCATACACTCGTCAATTGTAATAGAGGAATATTTCGTGTTTTTTAATTGTATTCGTTCATTCTATGATTTTTATCAATTTTGACTTTGCTCAAAATTAATATTAGTAATAATAAAATTCATATGATAAAACCTATTTACCTTATATTAGATTTCATCGTCATTGTCATCATCATCGTTAGAATTCTCAAATCCAAAATTAAACGAAAACTTCTTCGCTTCGCTATTTTCATTTCCATTATCGTTGTTACTCTTTACTTTATTCCACATCGATTTCATTTCATTATTCTTCTTATTAACAAGTTCTCGTTCTTCATTTTCAAACTCTATTTTTTCCAAAACACCCTGATACCTTTCACGAAATGCTTCTCGGAACGTCTGATGAATATCTGTACAATTCTTGAAATTATGACCGAACCCGGAAATTTGATCAGGTTTATCGCGCAAGAAACAAAGCACATTAAGTAGATTATGAGTGCCCACGAAATTTTGTGTCTAATCGTATTGATATACGGTAAATTTCAATTATAAAATAGTAATTCTAAAAGCTTAATCCCAAGTAATAAAAAATTCAAAAAAAAAAATGCTCACAATAGCAATAGAATCTTCCAGATTCACAACCATATGCCACCACCCATTCGGCACAAAAATGATTTCACCAGATCGACATACACCTTCCAGAGGACGTGGTTGCGATTTTTGTGCTTCCTTGTAAAAATTAAGATGCCATTCCATCAAAGAAACTGGTGAGGTGACTTCAGCCTCGTCTTTCAATAATAGCAACATCATCCGAAAACGAAAATACTTAATTAACATAATGACCAGATATTTTCTAATTATCCTTCATACAATAATTTTTTCTAATACCATCACTAGTAAAAACGCCTGGTGGTAAAATATTGGGTGGATACATGATCCATTTCTTGGAACCAGTGATTACAGCGTTCCAAGCCGATGTTAAGTTTGGGTCTTTATGAAATGTTGAGCCTGCACGAGATGGTCCTATAATAAGCCATCTTTGATAAAGAATAAATAAACAATAAACATAAAAGAAAATAACTGCCTTTCTTTGTTTACATACTACACACCTATAATCTGGTCTATTCTCATCGAGCACTTTAAAAAAATCCTCGGCAAAATATTCTGGCACACTATAATCATTTTCTATCCCATAACACTTTTTCGCGAAATTTTTATCAAACAAATATAAGGGACTCTCGTCCATATTATTTGCTGCGTACCTCGCGTATTCGCGTAATTTGATATCAACAGCTTCCGCGCGAAACATTACATCACCCCACTTCTCAACGAGATAATCCATTGACCATTTCTTGTACGCAGGCCATTTAGTAACCACATCTGTAATAATTACAGGTTTATTCGGTTTCGCATACTCGGTTATAAACGTGTCCATACTCAAATTGGCGCGTCGATCAATAGATTCTTTGCCGATAAACTCGTCCATTGGTGTAGTGGCACACAAAAACGGTTGAAATAGCACATCGCTATAAAAGTTATCAAGCCTGACAACAGAGATAGTTGAAAAAACTGAATTGATGCCACTTAAATACGCGTCGCGGTGATAATAATATTTTCCAAGAAAAGTTTGACGCCAATTCCCTCGCCATTGCCAATTCCCTTTAAACCTTTCAAATACTAACGTTTTCCATAAGTCATCAAAGAATGCAAAGCAGTATAGAACTCTGCTGGTTACTTGAAGATTTAATAGATCGCGGTGACTAAGCAGCCCAAATATTTCGAGTAATAATTCGTCTGTCAGCACAGCTAGTTTACCCAGACCAGGAGACCGACAATCCCCTTTAATGTTATTATTTGAAGAATTTGTGTAGTCAAAGTAATAGTTGCCCCATGGTTTAATACCTAATGGGTGGCTTCTTATTAGATGGAGACGTTTCTGCTCACGAGAATTACATAAATCAGAACAATCGCTAGCAAAACGCTTCCGAGAATTAGACATGTTTCGGAGCAAAAATGTAAATATAGATCAATTAAATTCTGACGTGATCGCTCGGAATTTTGCTTTTTCCTCGGAGTCATCTGGCCGACAATTCTGTTACCAAAATAGCAAGATAAAAGTTTTATTGTGCACATTCCATTTTCCATAGTTCAACGAAACTCGGATCTGAAAGGTAATTTCGGGCAGCCATCTGCACACACATACCCCACCATATTGCTTATTGTGAAACATTGATTTACGCAAATATTTCGAATCCCTGTTTAACTATTAACAATAGTATTAACGTTGGTATATCAATTAACCTGCCTCTCGCCATTTTTTTTTCTCGGTGGTTGCTTTTTATCTATCTACGTGCACGCAACTTTTATCAAAACCCAAAGCCATACTTTTAACTCATCATACAAGAGACACAAAATGTCTACTACTACCATCACTACCACTACCACCACCAACAACACCACCACCAATACCACCAACAACACCGCCTCCTCCACCACACCAAACCACAAGACTTTTCTCGAATATCCTTCGGCGCTCGAGGAAGCCAATAAGACATACAAACAAATTGCGTGCAACTTCCACAACCGAACGTTATATCCTAAAGTCAATCAACCGAGTGATGAAGACTATGGGGTTTGTGTTTGTGAATATCAGCCAGGTAAAATTTGTATTTTTAATTAATTTGGCACAGTGATTCGTGAATGAATGCACGTTAACATGGTAAATGGACATTGGCTTAACGCGAGCGATAGCTATTAATTATGTGTCCTATCGCCCAATGATTTATTTACCAATACAATGTAATATTCGATAATATCATTCTCTAAACTAAGAGAGGTTACGCGAAATTATCTAAATTAATCTATAATATCAACCCTGCTACTCGTTTAGCTTATTTCTACCGAGATTAGGAAGTTTTGTTCTCATGTAGTTAATACACAATACTGATCGTGAGAGAAACATTTCTAACCAATTTTTCGCTTCTTTATTACTAAAGGCGACCCGACCGACGATGCATGTGGGTCAGAATGCATTAATCGCGTGCTATTCATCGAGTGTACAAATGACTGTCATATTGGTGACCATTGTAGGAATAAAAGGTACGATTTTAACTGTCTTTGTGCGAATTTTCATAATTCCAAACAGTCATTCTTTCTTTAGAAAGTGTTTGATCATATATAACGACGTATGCTATCGATCTTCTAATAATCTGTTGATTTTAGATTCCAGAAAGCTGAGTATGCTGCTGTAGATGTATTCAAGACGGATTCTAAGGGATATGGATTACGAACTATAGAGCCCATTAAAAAGTAAATATATTTTGTCTATCTCAAAATAATTTAATCAAATGTGTAGTCTTTTATATAAACCAATTATTTTTACGTTTTCGCCTTCTTTCACTCAATCTATAACATTCTCACCTCTATAGAAATACATTCATCATCGAATACACCGGCGAAATTGTCCCAAAAGAAGTCTTCTACCAGAGACAGACAGACTATGCAAAGGAAGGAATTGAGCATTTTTATTTCATGAGTTTGACAAATGGAGAGGTAACTTTTTCAAGCTCTTTTTCGTCTTTGTTTTGTTATTTATTTCTATTTGATACATCACCTAATTCTATTATTTCTTAATGAATAGCTTATCGACGCAACTAAAAAAGGATGCATAGCAAGATTTATGAACCATTCTTGCAACCCCAACTGTTTCATCCAGAAGTGGATTGTCAATAAGAGAACGCGCATCGGAATTTTCGCTCTTCGTGATATCGTATTGGGGGAAGAGCTTACATTTGACTATAATACAGATAGAAAAGGGTAAGTATTACTTTATTGCTCCAAAGAAATGATTTGGCTCTTTAGGAGATTACTATAAATTGATTTTCATATTCATTACTACAAAATAACGATCCTCAGATTAGATCATATCCTTAAACTCACATCATTTCCAATAATGAAAAAGAAGATCCTCAAATCAAATAATTATTTTTACTGATGTTCTAATGTATAATGATTATTCTCTAATAGAATGGCAGCCCAAAAATGCTACTGTGGCGAAGAGAATTGCTGTGGATACCTTGGTGGTCAAAAAGGATCTGATGATGAATCAGATGAGGACGAAATTGTGCCAATTGAAGACCCAGAAGATGTTCCCGAGTTTATAAGAACAATGATTCACACACTACATAATCGCGATGAAGTACTTGACATATTACATCGTCTTGAGGTATGTAATATTTTTCTTTTTTTTTGATATTTTTTTTAGGAAAATCAAGATTTCTTAATATAATTAATCAAATCTTTGTTTTTTGACTTATGATAGATCACAGATGATAATGCCGTTTTTAGCAAATTCAAGCATCTTCACGGGTTGCTTGTGCTAAAAGCGTACCTAGTTGAATGGAGACAGGATGATGAGATCGTTCTGAAAGTATGTTTTTAATGGTATCAATTATGAATTTCTTATTAGTTTAGGCTTCATATAATGATAATATTGTATTTGCTTCCTTAATATTTTCACTAGACTTTAGAGGTGTTGCCAAAACTACCGATTTTGGCTCGAAATACCATAACTGATGCTAAAATTGAAGAGAAAATGGAAATATTCAAGGAACGAACTCCACGGATGAAAGAATTGGTCGACGCTGTGAGCATTCTTTTTCATGGGTTTTCAGTTTCATATTCCCTTTCGTGTACTTTGTTGGTTAACAAATTATTTTGTAGCTCCTGGAGAAATGGGGAAGTCTGACCGTCTTACACAGATGTCCAAAAAAGACTGTAAGTACATTGCAAAATAAGGAATTTTATTATTTCATTACTTATTATTTGTCTATTACCCTTTTGTGACGATAACAATTATACTAGAAAGAGGAACTCGAACAAGAACAGAAACTCTTAGAAGAGGAGGAAGCACGTAAAGCAAAAGAACTAGAAGAAGAAAAACGAAAAAAAGAGGAAGAAAAAAGAAAACGCGAGGAAGAAGAAGCACAAGCTCGGCGAAGAAATTATTACAACAACCGCAGTCACAACTCTTCAAGATCTTACACGCATTACACTCCCTATCATAGCAATCATCATACTAATAATAACAATAACAATAATAATAATAATGAACAAGAACGAAGGCCAAGATATGAATCCAGTCGTGACTTTTATGATTCGTACAGACCATCTTCAACAGACTCGTATCGGCCATCGTATAATAGTAATAGTAATAGTAGTAGTAATAGTAATAATAGTAATAATACTAATGGACCGACAGCCACATCTACAGATCGATATCGTCCTACTCCGCAATTAGTCGCGCGTCATCAAAGAAGTCCAAACAAAGGTGAAAGTTCGGATGTAGCAGCAGTAGTAACTAATAACAATAAAACAGCAACGTCACCATCACAAGCAAATCTGACTACACCACCTCAACCGCCACAGCCAACATTGTCACTACCTGACCCCACCTCGCTACCACAAGTTCCAAAAAATATCAAACCAGGTTCGTTGCCGCCGAATTGGTGCGAAGTTGTGGGGGATGAAGGTCAAATCTACTATTTCAACGTGGTCACCAACAAGACGCAGTGGGAGAGGCCAGTTGTGGAGGATCGACAGACACTAGAGGGGTATAGTGTCGCGTCGATCAATGCGGTGATCGAGCGGGTGATGGCTTCACAGCAAGTTGCTGTGGAGCCAGAGCCACAAGGTGGGGCGAAGGAGGAACCAGCGGCTGTAATGAACGAAGGGGAGTTTAAGGACGAGGTAAGAAATCATTCGCGTGTAATATTATTTTAAATTTTTTTTTTTGAATTTTTTATAATTGTTAATTCCATATTATGATCTTGCTTTATTGAAAATAGTTGCAAAAGTTGGTGATCGATCGTTGCAGCCGCTGGAAAGGAGAGTTTACGGTGGCGGAGTTCAAAAAACACGCCAGGCGGGTAAGTTAAAATTTATTAATATCAATAATATTATTTATTTATTAAAACATTTTAATTTGATCTAATTATTCTACATAATTAGCTGGCCCACCTGGTCGTGGACAAAGAATTCCGCCGCCAGAAGGAGGGGGCGTACGCCGTGACCGACTCCCTTCGGTCGCGTATCAAGAGGTTTGTCGCCGACTATGTCGGCAAACTTCTCACGCACCGAGGGGAGTCCCTCGAGACTTCCTCTTCTGCTGGTCAGAAGAGAGGTCTCGAGGATCGCTCGGAGGAGGGTGGTCACAAAAAACAAAAAAAATAAAAAAAAATTATAAAAGACATTTTTTCGTGTACATAATATATATAGATAGATATAGACTTTTTGTACAATAAAATTCATATTTTGATTATTCACTTAGGTCAGCACTGTTTTGAGTTTCTACATGGTACATAGGCTATATCGATATACGTATTCTCTCAAGTCTTCATCACGATGCATTAAAACCCATCTTGACTAAAATAATGATCCATTACTATATATGGGTGATCCTTGTCTATATTTGGAAGTTGATCAATTTTAGCCAATGAAAACGAAAGATGGGTTTCATAATAAATTCATTTCACCTATACAGCCAAAATAGTAAAATAATTAGATCGAGGAAATTTTTTATCATCATTACAAGAATTGACACGGCCAATCAAATTCATACCTTTGTTTATCGATCATTTTTTGCCCACAATTGATAATGTTCAATCTATCATTTTTATCGTCGCTCTCTTTTCAAGACAATGACCGAACTTCTTCACCACCCTACTTTTGAGCTGTCTTTACGTTTCGCAGGAACAACTGTAGGCCGTGAAAAAGTCTACAGAGCTGTGCAATACTTTTCTCGGTTCCTCGCTTGGTATCTTTATCGACAAGGTTATAGCAAGGAGACCGTGCAACGGTTTGCTAACTTGAAAAGCACCCTTACTGTGTCGCGAAAACGTACGTATTTAAACTCTAGCTCCAGTTTTTTTGACATTTGTGCCTTGATATATATGAAAAAAGGATAATCAAATGCAAAAATGCTGTATTATTTTTTAAGTTATGCGCCTTGGAAAACCACTGGAACACTTGCAAGCTGCTTCAAAGGCTATCAAAGATTCCGACGAGTTTACGAGGTTTACTTCTATTGGTAGACAACTTGGCTACGCTGGCTATTTATTCTGGGATACGTTTGTTTGGGTAAATTATCATTTTTTCGCATGTATTTTCCCAAAGATACTATACCATTCTATTATTGTTATTATGATTAATTATTGTGATCACTATTTAGCTTCATTTGTCAGGAGTCTACAGATTCCAAGAAATCAAAAAAATCAATCAAAACGCAGCTAGATTCTGGCTATTCGGAATAGTTTGCTCCATATTCAGCGGTTTCTATAAATTACGACGACTTGCTTTCCATAGCCGTATACGTCAAAAGCTCCCGGAGACTCTTGATGATACTGCTACTGAAGCTAAAGGAGCCAGGTAAAATTTAATAAATTCGATATGCGTATATTATATTTATGTTTTGGCGAATATATATTCAATCAAGGTTATTATTAATTAATATTGACATAAAATATATATTTTTTTTATTTTCAGTGAGCGCAGACGCGTTATCCACCAATTAGTGCAAGACAGTCTTGATCTTACGTTACCGGCCACCGCATTGGGTTACCTTAAGTTCGATGACGGATTACTTGGCATCATTGGGTTCATCACTTCGATTATGGGTGCTCGGAATCAATGGGAAAAAGTGAAATTTGGATCTCGTTAAATGACTTTAATTGAGAACTTGTTATTTCCCTCTTGGATTAATTGGTTAGTTGTAAACAGATATTCTTCAAGCAAGATATTGTCGGATTAGGTGCAATGCTTGGAGATTTTATTTTGTTCCTTAATGTAATTTTTTCGTTAGGGAAGTAGATTGTTTGACATTTCCAATCTGGCATCTAATGTTTAATTGAAAATGTTCTATAGATTTTTTTTTAAAAAAAAATTATCTTGACTATTTACAAATTAATTGTATTGTGTGTAATTTAATGCGGTTCATTTTTATCCTATAATCATAATTTTAGAGTTAGGTATTAAAAACGAAATACAACAAAAAATTGATTTTGCAAAAACTGAAGATAATTCGTTCGTTATTAAATTCATTTTATTATCTCCAAAGACCAAAAATTCTGATTTGCCTTCATCTTCGCGCTCTTTGCTTAACAACCCATTTATTCGGTTTCCTTCTAGTTTTACCACCTTTAGCCAAAACACCCCAAGGACTCACAGGATGACGATTACTTTTACTTTTACCACGTCCACCACCATGGGGATGGTCGACTGAGTTCATCGCCACACCTCTAACCGTTGGTCTTCGTCCTAACCATCGAGACCGACCCGCTTTCCCGAGCATACGATGTTGATGATCAGGATTTGACACGGTACCGATGGTGCCGCAACATTCAACGTGAATCAGGCGAACTTCACCGGATTTAAGTCGAATTTGCGCGTACCCTTTTTCACCTGTTTGCACAACTTGAGCTGAAGTACCAGCAGCGCGGCACAAAATTCCTGCGCCGTTAGGCTTAAGACCGACACAATGAATTAAAGTACCGACTGGTATCATTCTTAGCGGCAGACAATTTCCTTTGGTTATTCTGGCCATACGCGAAATTGCCGGATCTTGAATTATTTCCTCTTCATATGACGATGTTGTTTTTGTCGCTGTAATTTGTAATTCCTTATTAGCATTAGCATTAGCATTTGCATTTGCATTTGGAGCCGTACGAAAAGATTGTACGATCGATCCAACTTCAAGACCATGTGGCGAAAGTATATAAGAGAGTTTTCTGGTTTCTTTGTGTTTTAATAAAGCAATGTGTCCCGATCGATTTGGATCGTATTCGATACGAAGAACTTCTTGTGGTCCAGGATCCCATCTTTTGAAATCTACTAATCTAATTCGACGCTTATGCCCTCCACCACGATGTCTTACCGTGATATGTCCATGCTCGTTACGTCCGCCAGATTTACGTAAAGGAATTGTGAGTTTCTTGACTGGTCTTCCTTCGAATAAGTGGTCGTTGATTGGACGACGAAGCCAACGACGACCTGGTGACACGGGTTTATATGTTTTAAATTGTCCAGGTGCTGAAGTCGCATATTCTCTGATAATTTTCGAAAAATTTAAATGCCTATCAGGGTTGAATTTCGTTAATTCCAAAGAATTCCATATCTTTTGCCGTGTAGCAAGTCTAGAAATTCTTTTATCTGATAATTGATCATAAAGGATAAATTCTTTTGTTGGTCCTATTGAACCAGAAGTTGTCGGTCTAGGTGAGAAAACGCGTTTAAAAAAACGCAAAAGCAACACCATTTATTCCACAACGATAAATTTTAATTCTTCAACTTGAACTCTCCAACAAACTTTTACGCTCACGTGATGATATTGTAAAATTCACGCTCACGTGTGTTGATAAAAAATTAACGTTAACGTTAAGAATTGAGGATCATATACAAGTCATTTTTTGAATTTTCGCGTTACACATTGATCTTGACAAGACCTCACATGACTTGCGATATTATCGCAAAAGTCGCACATTTGATCATTGGCCAAAAAACTTTTCACACACAAAAATAAAAAATTTGGGATTGCTTCTCCCGCATTTTCGTTTATTTCTATCGATATTTATTTAAATAATTATACACAGTTGCAACAAATGATAATAGAACAGGAACGAAACTCAAAAGCTACTCCGTCTACCCCCTCGGGAGCTATTGCTGACTATGAACAACAACAACAGCAGCAACAAAAAGAGCAACAGCAAGTGCTTAAAAAACTACGAACCGAAGACGGTTTCGCGACAACAAAAATTAGTGAAATCAGTAATGCAGCAGAAACTATTAAAGAAAATGGAAGTAATAGTAGTGGTGGGACTAATGGAGCTGAGATAAAAAAACCAAATTACGAGTTAAAGTATACCTTGGTTGGGCATAAGAAAGCCGTGTCTAGTGTAAAGTTCTCTCCTGACGGAAAGTGGTTGGCTAGTTCTTGTGAGTATCATAATATAGAATTACAGTAACGGATACTGTGACAACACGCATATTTCAGTATTTTACACTAAATGGACCAACCGACACCTAGTGTGTGGAATGCTTTAATTTATCGATAACCCATGGATGCGTCACATAATACACGTATTCCGTCTCTCCTCTTCCTTTATATATATATATTAATATAATACAATTTCGAATTTGTGTATCAGCTGCCGATAAAACAATCAAAATTTGGAACGCATTAGACGGTAAATTTGAGCGGACGTTAGAAGGACACTCGAAAGGTATCTCCGACGTAGCATGGGCTACTGACTCGATGTATCTCTGTTCTGCTTCCGACGATAAAACAATACGAATCTGGAGCTTGAGTTCAGTATGTTAAATTTCAAACTTGTATATGTTATGTAACAAATAACGCTTTTTACTTTTTGTTAGCGTGTACTTACCTAATTTTCTGTTATATTGATTGGATGATTTTGCGTTATGTTTGATTTAGACAACTTGTGTCAAGACCCTAACAGGCCACACAAATTTTGTATTCTGCGTGAATTATAATCCGCAGTCAAGTTTGATTGTGTCAGGGTCGTTTGACGAGAGCATACGAATCTGGGATGTGAAAAAAGGTTTTTATTGGTTCTTTTATTATGAATCAATTCTTTTTTTTTGTTTGTTAGATGGGAAATTTTACCTTTGTTTGGGATCTAAACGTTTTTTATCAGGAGTTTGTATGAAAGTGCTGGCTGCACATTCTGATCCGGTCACTGCCGTACACTTTAATCGTGATGGCACAATGGTTGTGTCGTGTAGCTATGATGGGTTAATGTAAGATGAATAGTGTTAATTATTTTGTGGGTGATTATTTTGTATTAATTTACTCCAAATTTTTTAATAATTAGTCGTATTTGGGATACAGCAACCGGTCAATGCTTAAAAACCTTAATTGACGATGACAATCCACCAGTGTATGAACAACAAAAAATATCATTACATCTGATTTATTCCGAACTTATGCAATGATAAATTTAATTTTCTTGTATAAATAAATAATAAACAAATTAGATCCTTTGTAAAATTCTCACCAAACGGCAAATACATACTCGCCTCGACACTTGACAATACGCTTCGCCTATGGAATTACCATTCCGCAAAATGTTTGAAAACGTATCAGGGCCACGTGAACAACAAATACTGTATATTTGCTAATTTTTCCGTGACCAGCGGGAAATGGATAGTTAGTGGGAGCGAGGATAATTGTATCTATATTTGGAATTTGCAGAGTAAAGAAATTGTGCAGAAACTTGAAGGGCATGAGGGTATTTTTTTTGATTTTAAGTTGGGGAAGGATGTTTATTCGGTTAATTGGTTTTGAAATATACTAATGTTGTATTATGTGTAGATGTGGTGTTATGCGTCGCGTGTCATCCTACACGAAATATTATTGCGTCTGGTGCCATCGAAAACGACCGAACAGTAAAATTATGGTTTGACACAACCTAAATATACTTGCATAAAGAACACTTTATTTTATTCCACCTATTTTAACGTACATATATAGCAATAACAGAAACGAAAGCAGAATCAGTAACATATATAGTATTAGTAGTAGAATTGATTAGAAAATATATAGTATATAGATCAAAAAGTTGTGAGTTTTTTTAATAAAAAGAACCAAATTAAATTTGAAATTCTGCAAATACTGTTTTCTATACAGGAATTATGACAAGATGCCTTAATTTAGAATATTTTATTTAGCTTTTCAGTTAATTATAATAATCATTCCAAGCATAATGATAATCATGATTATTATGAATACGACAATTCACTACGAACTCTTGTCGCAATTATTTTCAGATTTTCGACGTCTTCTTGATGGTCTAATTCGAAACTCTAGACGCGAAAATTTGTGTGTATTTTGCTTTAATTTATTTGTATATTTATAAATCTGAACAAAAACGTTTAGAACGACAGAAAATTACTTGCCTCTTCGCAGGATTTCAAAAACAATATAATATTTTGACACCGCACTTTTCTCTCCCAGCTCTTTGACGCGATACTACACCGTGCCTTAATAGCACCAAATAAACCTATCCAAACAATCATAAAGAATTCAAAAACAATTAACAAAAATTTCATCCCTTCCCCGAAAAAATTATCCTACTTCTTACAATTAAGTGATTCGACTTTTTGTCGCCACCCTCCAAACCAATCCCATTTCTCAAAAATGGCATGATCCGGGAAATGATCGCTAGTAGAATCATTATTATAATGATTACGTATTAATCGCTTCAGCTTTTCGCTGTAGTCGCGTTGCGTCTCTTGTAGATATTCAGTGTCATTCAGAATTGTCTCAAACCATACGTCGATGAATTCGTCTTTGAACGACTTGTTAACGAGATATAAAATATTTCAAAAAATAAGAAAAATTTATTTTAAAGCAAATATAGAAAAAATTACCAAGAATATACTGTCGCCGGTGTCTTTCTTTTTTATCAAATTTGCACAGAAAATTAATGAGATCTGTCGACGCGTATCTGTGTTATGATTCCATCGATAGCTGTATTCTCCGCGAATCCAGTCATTAATATTCTAATGAGAACAGAAATCGAACCATTAATAGAAGAAAAGAAAAATAACAACATAATAATAAAGTTTTAGACTTGCAGTTTTTAAGTTATCCTGATTTGAAGTCAGAAAATTTTTGTGTGTTACCCACGCAAGATCAGCGAAAAAGGCAACAGATTTTAGTCGTAATTCAATATGCGTCTCTTGATACCTTTCCTTTCTGATATCTAAAACTCAATTTAGAATATATTAAGAATATTGTTATATTACTTGGATAACCATTTAAATGATTACCTTTATTGAAAATAAAGTTAATCAGGTTATATAGCCGACGACTTAAATCCGCAAATAAGATCTAAATAAACAAGAACAATTAAAAATTCGCTGCAAGCATAATAATAAAGTACATGAAAATATTCGTACTCGATTTTCCTGAGCATCTTGCACAACATCGACGCCGTGTAAAATAGTTTCCATTGATTCCAATCCTTTTATCAGACACTTCTCCATAAGATGGTAGGATGAAGCCTCTTTCGCACTTTTATAAACAATATAATCCCCAATAATAGATTTGAAACGCGACCAAATCAAATGACATACTTTGAGAAACTCCATATCGCTTGCACCTCGTTTTTTAATCAACATCACCAGCTCTTTGGCATATTTCAAGTAATACGAGCGTTTCAATAACGATGCGCCCCCAAATTTTTTACTAGACATTATCAAATCAAATTGCTCAATACTCTCAGATATCGACAACGGACGAATGTATCTGGGAATGTTCCCGGCCAAAAAGCAAAACACTTCGCAACAGTTGCCCAGTGCTCGATCCACGGGATCATCTTCGGAATGAAATTCTTGAACACGCGATGACAAGGTTCCAACGTGTCGTAGGATACATGAGTCCCAATTGTCGTGTTGACTTTGATTTTTTACGCGTGTTTTGAAACTTTCAAAGTAATTTTGAAATGTACTTTCATTGAATTGCGGGATCTTTTGATACATTTCTAGTTCCGTTTTCTTTGGTGGTGGTGGCAATGGTTGCTGTGACGATGTTTGTTTTATATTAGATGATGATGTTTTTGAGAAATTATATGTTCTTTGAGGCGGTAATGAAAGTGATATTAAATCATCATCAGCATCAGAATTATCTTCGAGATATTCAATCTCTTTCAATAATATTTTCCTAAGTGACGGACGCGGGCTAGAACGTCGGATTTTTTTTGATGGCGGAGTTTTAAATTTGGGCGAAGGCAGTGATGATAGTGTCGAAGAGATATCCGATCCATTGCTGTCGTCACTTTCCTCGTCGTTAAAGCCATATCGATTTTCTTTATCATTATCTGATAAAATAGGCTCATTATCATCAGAAGAAGAATCACCTCTATACGTCTCAGTTTCATTCTCCTCTTCTCTATCGTCTATCACTGGAATTAATTCCTCCTCTTCTTCTTCTCCTTCGTTTTTCTCGTGATATTCTTCGTTCTCAGATTCGCTATCGATACTTCCAAGACCTGGATTATTGTCAACGTAAACAGGAACTCCCTGTTTCTCAGCAATGTATTTATCCAGTTTGTATGGATGCAGTTGTTTGTAACTTCTTTTTCGGAAATTCCTTCGTTGTGGATACAGCGAATTTTCAGAATTCGAGCCCATGTTTTTTTCTTTCTTTTGGTAATGAGGAATGACGTAAATATAAAAACAAACTTTAAATATCGAGGTAAATTAAAGTGAGACGCGAAGTTAATACGCGCGTCGTATTGGTTCACATAACACGTGACTGCTTTTTTTAAATGATTCTGAATCTCGAGGCATTGTTATATATCTTTTTCCTTGGTTTTTTAAAATGGTTGGTGTAGTTGGACATGTTACTGCCTGGGCGACGTTCGGGGTTACTGTTCGAGCTTTTGCTTTGATGATTCAAAGGCGGCCCTTATTTTTTAGTAAGTTGTGACATGTTCGTATTATTGTAAAGTGAGATTCTGCAATATATAAATATGCATATATATATATACACATATATAAATATAAATATTCACATACGAGAGTTGTCAACCCGATAATTTACTTTTATTACATCAAATTATTCATATCCAAAACTCGTTTAATAAATAGACCCATCAACGCATGCACTAACAGCCGCTGTATTTGCATCTGCTGGCTACTACATCTACCAGATAGAACAACGACAATACGAAATCATTGCGCAACGTAGAAAGGAATTGCTGGATAAACGGGAACTGAGAAAAGCTATGGAGGCAAAGCAGAAAGCGTATATAGAAGAGCATCATTTGAACACATCAAGAGAAGGGTATCATATTTAATGATTAAGCATTAATTAACACACCGGCAGCTCATTGTTGATCATAAAGACATTTTTATCAAATTATTCCTTTATTTGTTGTTAATATCATCATTTGTCATCGTCATTTATATTTAAAATTTTGGAGCTTTAATGCAAATGCTATTATTTCAATTGTGGTGTCAGGTCATGTGATTCCGACTCGACACCGATTGAGTACCTGTGTTGAATTAAAGCCGGGTAGTGCTGATCCGGAACAAGTACAATCCGGATATTCATAATTATCCGGACCTGATTGATACATTTGAATGATCGGTTGAATTTTACATAAATGATTTTGTCGTTCACGTTAGGGAATTCACTAAATCGGATAGTTTCATGTGATATATAACCCGATCCGAATTGTAATCATATAATCCAACTTGAATAGTCAATAAAAAATATTAATATAATTTTGAATAAAATAATTGCTAAAGTTGATATTCAAATTAAATAGGTATTAAAAGTAAAGATTAGAACTAAAATATTTTTTGAATAAATCTATATTAAAAATATTATTTATTTTTTAATTTGTAAATATTAGTATGATATATATAACCTAGTTATATCAATAAAATTTTAATCAACTTTAAATTTTTTCACACTTTTACAAAATATATATATTTAAAATAACTCTTTATAAATTAATAGAATAGGTTATTAACTTTATAAAAGCTAATTTCAGTTTTCTTAATTCTTCATATAGTAGTATTCATTCAAATTTTGTCACTTTTTATATGTTATTGTGAATTTGAGACATATTATAAATTATATGATTATATTAATAACTATTTTTAATTGGTTAAACTACATTATATTATTATTTTTTTATGCAAATTCTAATTGACATTGCATATAATAATTTAAATAGAATTAATTAACTTTTAAAATTTTGAAATTGTGATTATATAATTTGATGTACAGTCAAACCTCTCTATAATTACACCTATTTATAGTTACACCTTTCTATAATTACTCTATTTTGCTTTCCTATTTATATATAAACATAGTAAAAAAAACTTCTTTGTAGTCACATTTTCTCTATAATCATCAAATTTTGCTTTTCTAAAGGTGATAACTATAGAGAGATTTGACTATAAGTACTATAAGCAAATTTATTTGCTAAAATTACAAAATTTAGATCTTATTTAATTTAATAACTTATAAATAAATTATATAAATAAATAGTATAACTTAAAAATTATTATTTTCAAATAAATTAATATATATTATACTAATTAAAATTTTTATGAAAAATAATCATATAATAAAATTTAACCAATCAAAAATAATATTTCAAATACTGAAAATCTAATTATAAATAATTTTTATAATAAAATAAACAAAAAAATATATAATATTATAAATTATATCAAAGATTATTTAATAATATATTTGTTTTAATAATTATATATTTAAAATAAAATTTCTTTATAGTTCAAAGTATTTAATATAACTAAGTGAAATTCTATTATAATCAAGCTTCTGATAAATATAATATTGTAATATAGTATTCAATTAATATCCAATAACAGTTCTTTTATGATTACTTAATCTTGTCATAATTTATTTATAATATAGTACTAATATTCTTTAACAACTTGATAATTGTTTAATAATATGCAATAAATATAATTATAATAATAGAATTAACTAATTAATTTTATAAGTTTATAATAAAATTAATCAAGTAATAAATATTTATTTAAAGATATTTTATTTAAGTTATTAATTAAACTAATTATAACAGTTTATTGTGTTAAATCTAATTAATTATAACTAGTTATATTTATATTATTATTATTATTATAATCAGATTTTTAATAGATATTATTATAATATATATATTTAATCAATATCTAATTCAAATTTTTCTTGATTTCAGTAACTTTAATTATTTCAAAATCACTATACTATATATTTTTTTATCTTTATAAATAGACTATTATTATTACTAAAAGATGAAATATTTTTTTAATATATAATAGTCCTATAATAATATAATATTAATATTTTATAACAACTTGATTAATATTTAATAATGCAAAATTAATATAAGTATTTAATATAAGATTTATTTTTAATTATTTAATTATTAATATATAAATTTCTTAATAATAAATAATAAACAGTTTATTAACTAGCTAAATTTTTATAATAATTAATTAATATCTTTTTTAAAGCTTCAATTATGCTTTATTTATAATAAATATTTTCTATTAATTAATATTACAAAATAATAATAAATATAATAAATATAATATATTAAATATATTAAATATATTAATATATTATATATATTAGATATATTAAATATATTAAAGATATTTAATATTTTTAATATTTTTGATAAAATTATAAAATTATAGAATTATAAAAATTTTTAATTATAATATCATTATAATATATTATATATTATTTAACTATTAATTAATATATTAGAATAAAAAATCAATTAGATAATATAGTATTAAGAAATTCAATATTTATCTATAATAATAATATTTTTTTACATAATGATAATATTTAACAAAAAATTATAATTATTATAAATTTAATTAATTTTTATTTAAAATATTTTAATTGATTCTTTATTATAAATTAGATTTATATTATGTATATACTTAATATAGATTATTTTTATTAAGATTTAGTATGTATTTTATTTTTATAAGTTAATTGGTTTTTTTTATATTTAATTTTTCTTTGTGTTAAATTAATATTACCTTGTACTATATTAAGTTTATCTTATATTTAATTAATTTTATTATATAATAGTAAAGAAGTATTAATAATATTTTAGTATTTTAATATGTATTGATATTAAATTTAAATATATAATATTTGAAAAATTAAAATAATATTATGTGTTATTTATAATAATAAAAATATATTAAATTTTAATTAGTTTTTTTTTTGAAATTGAAATAGATATATAAGTAATATATATTTTAACTTAAAATTATTATTTAATTATTAAGTTATTAATTTATATTTTATAAAAATATCTTTTAATAATATCAAATAAAATTTAATTGTGACTTATATTATTTTGATCTTTTAATTATATCATTTTAACAAGAAAAGAAAAAAGCTTAAATGTTACTTACAAAATATTATCTTACAATACCAGCAATAATAATTATAGTGACATTGCATATATCTGTATTAAATGCAAAAAGAATTTTGATGATGATGCTCTATCATATTGTAATGATTATGGTTGAGCTATGAGAAATAGAATAGATTGTTTTTGTGATTTAAGAAAAGATGAGCCACTAGTTAAAATTCTAATCATAACAGAAATAATAGCTCAGAGTTAAGGATGGTTGCCGAAATGACGTTATCTAATTAAATAATTTGCTGAAATTAACTTGCCGAAATTAAATCCAAAATTATTATGACTTATTTTATTAGTAGCCGAAATTGTTTTCTGAAATTATTTGGATTCTACAAATCAAAACAAGCATTTCTAGGTGGTTTTTAAGTATTCATTAATATAAGCAATATAGCAAAACCGAATTATTTGCCGAAATACCATTTTTTCCAAAAATAATTTAGGAGACCATCTTTACTCAGAGTTATGTAAATAGATTAGAATAACAAAATAAAAATTTAAAATAGCAACTAGCTAGTGCTAAGAAAGAAATCAGTTCTCACTTGAAAGTCTTAGATATTTCATAAAATTGACATAATAAATAAAAGCAAGAATTATTGGATAAAATTCAAAGACTTGAAAGTGATGTTGAATTCTTAAGAAAACAGCAGACTTAACATATTACTTAAATTGAAGTTAAAGAAAATAAGAGATGATCTTGATTAAAAGTAAAAAAGTAATTTAAATTTTATAAATAATTTTTTCTTTATTTAGATATTTCTGGAGTATTTGAATATTATTGATTTTAAAAACATAGGAAGCAATTTTTTCTTCTTGAGCTTTCTTTAAAATACTTTTAATGATGCTATAATTCTTTGATTTTATAGTGAATTTAATATAAATTAGTTTCATATTAATATTTTTATATAGAGATAATTCTATATAATTCTGTTATAATTTATATTTATTACATTCTGGTATGATAAAGTAAGCATTAAAATTAACAAGTCCATAAGTTATGAATGAGCATCATTATTATTTTTTAAAATGTCATTAGTCATTCTGATCAATTTTACAGCCATATCATAATCAGTCTCTCATTTATATTACATAATTAAATATTTACTTTATCTGATTTTGTTGCAGTCTGCTCCATATGACCTCTTATTTATATTGCAAAATCAATAATAGTATTGAATTAATAAAAGAAAATTACAT